ATTCCCACAATCCTTCCTGTGCTGTGCTGGCTACTCAGGGGACTCCCCAAACAGCCAACCACCTGTACAGGTGCAAGGCTCCAAGGGAGGGCCAGTGCCCAGGCCGGGGCTTGGGCTTGGGGCTTAGATCTGCCCACGCAGAGAATCACTCTGGGGCTTCAACTTCCTTTCTTCCTTTGGGGCCAGTCTAGGCCACAGTCTGTTCTCTCCATGTGGAGCTGGCCAGACCAGACCGTTTGCCTTTTGAAGTTTCCTAGTCCTGCTAAGAGATGAGCTTCCTCATTGGTTTCCTTCTGGAAACATCCTTCCAACAAGTGTAGTGGGATCCCGGGGCCCAGGCAGGCCAGTGTGGGCCTGCTGGGGCTGGTTGAAGTATTGCTGGATCTTCCTGTGTTTCTCTGTCCCCTGTCTCCTTAACCCCATTTCCCTCCCTGCTGTACCCCTTTCCTACTCCTCTTCAATCCCCCCTCCTCCAAGTCCCCAGGTAGTTCTGAAAAGTCTTGATGGAGTGGCCCCAGGGTGATAGCTCAGGGAACAAAGGAATTCCTTGAAAAAATTTGTGTGTTTTTTTTTTTTTCTTCTTTTACGAATTACTCTTGGGTCACTTCCACCACTGGTAAAGCCAGAACTTCTCCAACCAGAACCTTGCAAAAGTCCAGTGAACCAGTCGAATCATCCTGAGAATGCCAAAGAATATTTTGACCATAATATACAGCACAGCCCGGACCTGACAACTGTCAACTTGAACTTCCGTTTCAAAGGAGTTGGTTAGCAACAGAGTTCTGAGACTCAGTTATTGCACACACCTACAGAGAAGGGCCCAAGGCCTCAGCTGCTGCTGCCGCCGCCGCCGCCACTACCGCCGCTGCTGCTGCTGTTGGTTTACGGTCCCTGGGCTGGGCCGCTGTGAGTGTGGTCCTAAACTTTGAGGACTCCTCCCCTCTGGGGGGAGAATCCTGACTATGAGTCCAGCGTGGTTCCCCCCCCCCCTCGCCACCACACAGATACACAAAGAGCAAATATACGGGACCTTCACCCACCTCGACTCCAAAACTATCAAGGTACGACAGTGAGTTTGAGCAAAATCAGAAGCAAAGATAATGACTTCAGTTTGGTGGATTGGACAAACATGTCTAATTCAAATGGACTCTGAGGGCATGGGGTGGACTCCAAGGATCCGGGCATCGGGATGGCATCGGCTACCACATAGACTTAGTCTGCCTGCCCATCTTGGTAGTAGTGACAACGCGGTGTCAGTGTCAGCATCCCCACCCCAGTCTCTTGTTTACTGCCTTTGAACAGACCTTCCTTACCCCTGTGCTTTGGGTCACTTCGGGTCGCAACCTTGTCTGCTGGATTGCCTGGTGGTCTGACCTGTGGGACGCAAAGGACGTGGGGGCTTAAAGAACAACCAAATGCTTCAGGGCGAGGGAGGGAATGGTCTTGACCGCTCTGTTCCACCTCGGGGCAGGGGCTGGGCTCGGTGGGTAGATATTAGTGATGAGTGGAGTGAATCTGACCCCTTTTTCTGGGCCTCTGGCACTCTTCCCCCAGAGCCTGAACTGGGTAGGCAAGTGAAGCGCTTCAGAGAGCCTCTGCATATTTTGGCCTCTGGGTTCTGGGCCTCTTGACAGTTGGCACCTGTGCTGTGGGCCCTTTGTATCCACTAGGTCCTGCCTGCCACGAAGCCCAGTTGTCCGTTACTGTGGCTAGTTAGCAGGCCCCTTCAGCAGGCAAGTCCTGTGGCAGTCTTCATCAGGCAGCTGTCTCTTCTAAGAGGCCATCAGTCTGTGAGGAGGATGAGGAGGTCCCATTACTCTCTCCTTAGTTCCTCCCAGGCCACTGTTCATGGTGTAGGTGGCACCCTTTAGGCCAGAGGCAGTTCTCTTGCCCGCATCCCCTACCCCTCCTTAGGGAGGCCGAAAGGACTCTGTAACTCGTTCTGGCTATTGTACCCTTTCCCAGCGTCAGCCCTGGCTGCCTTCCACCTCATTCCCTCTCACCACAGGCTAATGTGCAAGGAAAGTATTTTTGTGTATCATTAGGTGTATTTTGAAACAAGTAAAAAGGAGAGAGAATGCTCATTTACTTTATTAAATGGGCCCTGACTTTGTAAATGGTGTGAGAGTCTTTGCGATGTAAGGGCCACAGGTTCATTGGAGAAACCAGCCACCCAGGTTCCTGGGCTCTGTGTGTGTGTGTGTGTGTGTGTGTGTGTGTGTGTGTGTGTGTGTGTGTGCAGCACCGCTGTGCACATAACGTGTGTATGCATGGACACCCTATGGGACTTGCTAGGGTTTCTAAAGAATCCACTGCCTGATTCTCCAGGAATGTTGGTAACAGGTTAGACTTAGGGTTTGCTCACCATTGCCACATATGGCCCACCTGTGCCCATGCCTGAAGCTCTGTGGAACCACGTGTGATCTCTGTAGTAAGGTCCTTGAGACAACTCTCCCATGCCCTTGGCCTAGCTGGCCACATTGGCCCGAGAGCCAGAGGTGTTGGAGTCGGGGACCCTTGGTTGTTCTTTAAGGCTCTTCCTGCCGCCTTCCCTCGAGGATGCACACTTGTGCTCCATCCAAATCATTTGGGGGTGGCGGTGGGGAGGGTGATATGAATGTCACAGGAGGAGACACCTTCTGTCTTTGTTTCAAAGAAAGTGATGTGCCATTTGTTAATATACAAGAGAAATACTGAAAATATATTGAAAAGAGCAATTTTAAATTATTTTTGGCTTATGTTGCAATATTTATTTTCTTGTATTAGAGAAGATTCCTTTGTAGAGAAAAATGTATTTTTCATTACCGCAAAGACCTATTTCTCCTTTTTGTACATTGTCCTTGTTCGCAACCCTTAACGAGCAATAGAATGTCCGGTCACCCCCGCGTGGCCAGTGCCCACTGTGCCCTGCATGATTGTGTTGCTGCTGCTGCTGCTGCTGCTGCATAGTTTCCGCCCCTGTCCTGTCCTGCTCACTCACTGGGGCTTCTGGATTTTGGCCCCTGCCAGGGTCTATGTCTAAGAAGCCCATTGCACTCCTGTGTGTTGGCAAATTCAGTTAATAAAGCAATGTTTTCTGTGCTGGCTGCTGTGAGGTTCTGTTGCACAGGGTGGGTAGGAGACCTGGGAATCCCATTGCATGCTTACTGTATGCTCAGAAAGTCCCGAGTTCCAGCGGTGCTTGCAAACATTTCACGGTGTGCTTGCAGTACACTCCATGGGCTGTGCCTTAAGGGAGTGCCTTTGATCTTCAGTGTTAGCCCCTGGCATTCAGGATCAAGGATGAAGAGGTAACCCAAAATCACAACTCTGGTACTAGGTAAAGTGTCACATCAAAGGGTTGCTGAGCTCCTACTGGAAAGTGTGGGAGGGTCTTTTCCAGAAATCAGTGGAGAATTCTGCCTAGGCTTGTGTTTCAGCCCCTGCTCCTTGCCATGCTCTGGGATTGGTCTAGGGAATGGCTTCTGGTGCTGGCTGAGTACCATTGGGGGCCGACACAGCTCAGGGAGAGTGCTTCTGAGGAAGTGGCATCATTCCTTCCTTTAGTATGTTGGCCACATACTGCTGAGGTGCTGTGCCCACCCAACCTCCTGATGGAGACCCAAAGAACCAATAGAAATTGGTGTGACCTCTGGGAGATGGGATGATAGGAAATTCAACTCTGGGGGAATGCTTGGGTCATCCAAGATCAGTCCACAGAAACTTAAAAAAAAAGACATCCTGGTGTGCATTTATCCTGAGTACAGCTGTCTACTGACCTCCATGTGTGCACTGTTGCACACACACCTTTTGAAAATTAGAAATCCAGCCAAGCGGTGGTGGCTCACACCTTTAATCTCCGCACTCAGGAGGCAGAAGTGGGTGGATCTCTGAGTTTGAGCCAGCCTGGTCTACAGAGTGAGTTCCAGGACTGCCAGGGCTGTTACACAGAGAAATCCTGTCTCAAAAAACCAAAAAGAAAAAATTAAATCTGGACAACAACAGAACAGCATCAATTTGATGATTCCACTCTTTTTTTTTTTTCTTACTATATAACACTTGCTGTTTTGGGTTTAAAAAAAAAAAAAAGGAAGAAAGAAATCCAAACTTACTGCATCATAGCTATCAGTCTCCTTGAGATGATGTGAGGTAATACAATAGTGAGACAAAGTGAAGTAAGTTGTTTATTTCCAGAATCTTCCATTCAATATTTTTGGATAATGTTGACCCACATGTTACATAGAGATAGCAGAACTACTATGGACTGGGCATCATAGCTTTTGTGAGCAGAATGCATGCACAAATTCCTAGCACTGCCTTTTAAGTCATGGGATCTAGGGGAGACACAATAAATTGAAACTGTGACATCATAAGTGGTATCAAAGCAGCAGTTTGACTGTGTCTGGCTTCATGTCGGTTAGCATAGTGCCCAAGAGGCTTATCACGTCTTAGGATTCCCTTTGTAAGGATTTCTCTCCCTCTGAGACAGGTCTGTAGCCCAGCTGACCTGGAACTCTATACAATTGAAGATCCTCAGTGCTGGGATTACAGTGTGACCACTACACTATGCCTGCAGTGCCGACTCATGCTGCCAGTATGTGGCCCTACTTGGAGGCAGTGGGTTTAAGGGAAGAAAATTGGGTCTCTGGGGACATCCTTTGAATTGACCATGGAGACCTCAGCCCTTTCCAATTTTCTTAGTTTTCACGGTCATAAGCTGAGGTTTTGCCATGCACTGCCTCCATGACGCCTTGCTTCTCCACAGGCCGAAGAGCAACAGCCACCGCCTGGCCACAGACTGAAACTTCCACTCAGGTGTGTCCTCCCGGTGATGGAAGGCTGAATGATGTATGATGTATAACCGTTTCCTCTTTAGAGACTGTTTCCTCTTTAGAGACTAACTTGTATCTGGGAAGACAGGCACAAGCTGCTATATCCGGATCATATGAGGGATTTAGAATAGTCAAAATTATAGAGACAGAAACAGGATGGTGGTTGCCAGGGACTCAGAGGAGAAAGTGAGGGCTTGTTTGGTGGGCATAGTAGTAGAAGTGTGTGGGGCCCAGGGGAGCTGACACCCATTGATGTGTGTGTATAATATGTAAATATGTGTATTATAATACTGTGCTGCACCGGGCGTTGGTGGTGACACACCCCTTTAATCCCAGCACTTGGGAGGCAGAGGCAGAGGCAGGGGGATCTCTGTGAGTTTGAGACCAGCCTGGTCTACAAGAGCTAGTTCCAGGACAGCCTCCAAAGCCACAGAGAAGCCCTGTCTCGGTGGGAAAAAAAAAAAAAAATTCAAGTGCTGCACTTGGAAACCTTTGAGTTTCTTTTCTATTACACATGGTGTTAACCAAAGACTAGGAAGTGATTGTTTTATATTATTTGTCTCACAGTTTTGCAAAAATGATACAATGTAGGGGCTGGAGAGATGGTGTTCTTCCAGAGAACACTGGTGGAATTCCAGCATGCCCGTGAGGTCTCACAACCCTCAGTCCCTGGGGATCCTATGCCCTCTTCTGGCCTTGGTGGGTCCTGCATGCAATTGGTGTGCAGATACAACACCCAAACACATAAAATAAAAATGCAAAAAGAAAAAAAAAAATGTGACTGGAGAGATGGCTCAGCAGTTAAGAGCACTAGCTGCTCTTCCAGAGGACTCGGGTTCAATTCCCAGCATCCATATGGCAGCTCACAACTGCCTGTAGCTCCAGCTTCAGGAGGTCTGACATCTTCACACAGACATACACACAGACAAAACACAAATGCACATGAAATGAATTTTTTAGTGGAAAAAAAAAAAACAATAGCATGCTGGGCAGTGGTGGCGCACGCCTTTAGCCCCAGAACTCGGGAGGCAGACGCAGGTGAATTTCTGTGCGTTTGAGGCCAGCCTGGTCTATGATGCAAGTTCCAGGACAGCCACCGGAGCTGTCATCCAGAGAAACCCTGTCTTGAGAAAACAAAAACAAACAAAAAACAAAACAACCTACAACCAGTCGGGCATTGGTGGCGCACACCTTTAATCCCAGCACTCGGGAAGCAGAGGCAGCTGGATTTCTGTGAGTTCGAGGCCAGCATGGTCTCCAGAGCGAGTTCCAGGATAGGCTCCAAAGTTACACAGAGAAACCTTGTCTGGAAAAAAAAAAAACAAAAAAACCTACACCCACCAACAAAATATACAGAAGCACTCTGCTACAAACATTGCCACACAACTGCTCTGCTGCAATGACAAATACACATTAGACAAAGGAAACCATCCTGAAACACGAAGGAGCTCATGCTGGAGACTGAGGTGTAGCTAAAGGGTAGAGGAATCATCTATTATGTGTGAGGCCCTGATTCCACTCCCAGCACCTCAAAGAAATGAGGGAAGGTAATGAGAACCCCCAATGGGTTAAGGCACCAGCTGTCAGTCCTGACAGACAGCAGAAGAAAATAGTTAACTGCTGCAAGGTCCTTTCACCTCCACACGTGTGCCTTTGTGCACATATGGCATGCATGCATGCATAATAAATAAAATTAAATAAATAAATAAATAAATAAATAAATAAATAAAATACAGCGCTGACTGCTCTTCCAGAAGTCCTGAGTTTGGTTCCCAGCAACCACATGGTGGCTCACAACCATCCATTATAAGATCTGGTGCCCTCTTCTAGTGTGCAGATATATATGGAAGCAGAATGTTGTATACATAATAAATAAATAAAATCTTTAAAAAATAAATAAAATATAATACAGATATTTGAAAAGAAAACTAATTCTTGAGCCGGAGAGATGGCTCATCATCCATTATGTGTATTTGCTGTGCTTGCAAAGGACCCAAGTTCAGTCCCCAGAACCCCTGTCAGACAGTTCACAATTGTTTGTAACTTGGGTTCCAATGGATAACGTCAACCTTTGTCCTCGGACCTCCACAGGCATGTACACGCAGACACATAAGTAAAAAACATCTCTCTCTCTTTTCCTTTCCTTCCTTCCTTCCTTCCTTTCTCTTTCTCTCTCTATGTATGTATGTTGTCCTCCAACTTACAGAGATTTGATTGCTTCTGTCTCCCCAGTGCTGGGATTAAAGCTTTGAGCCACTATACCCAGCCAAAAAGAAATCTTAAAATAAATCAATAAATGAGATCTTCCCTAGCACACTGGCAACTCCCTTAAGGTCTCCCAACTTCATCTCAAGGCTCCCTTTTCATTGCTAACCCCATGTCCATCTACCTGGACTTCTGCACAGTGCTTTACAAAAATCCTTCTGACCCAGGAGAGAGAAGCTCTCCAAATTCCAGCCCCTGAGGCAGAGCTCATACTCAGGGAGACCAGGTGTTTTTGTTACTGAGCTATTCCTGTGAAGAGACACCATGGCTATGGAAACTTACAAGACTAAGCATTTATTCGGTGGCAGGTTCACAGTTTCACCAGGTTAACCTATGATCACTAACTGGGCACCAAACATTCAAGTATATTAGCCTATCTATGGGGGCCATTCTCATATGAACCACCATACCAGGGGAGAGCTTTCTAGATTTTTTTTTAGGGTGTGTGTGTGTGTGTCTGTGTGTGTGTGTGTGTGTGTGTGTGTCTGTGTCTGTGTGTGTGTCTGTGTGTGTGTGTCTGGGTGTGTGTCTCTGTGTTTGTGTGTGTGTGTGTGTGTGTCTGTGTGTGTCTGTGTGTCTGTGTGTGTCTGTGTGTGTCTGTGTCTGTGTGTGTGTCTGTGTGTGTGTGTCTGGGTGTGTGTCTCTGTGTTTGTGTGTGTGTGTGTGTGTGTCTGTGTGTGTCTGTGTGTCTGTGTGTGTCTGTGTGTGTCTGTGTCTGTGTGTGTGTCTGTGTGTGTGTGTCTGGGTGTGTGTCTCTGTGTTTGTGTGTGTGTGTGTGTGTGTCTGTGTGTGTCTGTGTGTCTGTGTGTGTCTGTGTGTGTCTGTGTCTGTGTGTGTGTCTGTGTGTGTGTGTCTGGGTGTGTGTCTCTGTGTTTGTGTGTGTGTGTGTGTGTGTCTGTGTGTGTCTGTGTGTCTGTGTGTGTCTGTGTGTGTCTGTGTCTGTGTGTGTGTCTGTGTGTGTGTGTCTGGGTGTGTGTCTCTGTGTTTGTGTGTGTGTGTGTGTGTGTC